TAACAGCAGAACGACTGGGAATGACTGGTCACTATGACATACACTGACCACCAGGGGGCAGACGCTCAATGCAGGAGCTGCCCCCTGGTGGTCAGTGCGCTCCCACAGGGGGAGCTCTGCTCAGCCATAAGCCAGGCTGACGGCTGCCAGTACAGCAGTGATGGCGGGAGCTTCTCCCACCTCCTCAGCAGTGCTAAGGATGTCTGACTGCAGCTTAGGCCTGGTTCCCATTGGCAAGTGGACATCCCCCGAGGGCTCCTGGCTGCCAGAGGGATGTCTCTGACTGCCAGCTTAGGCCCGGTCCCTTGGGGAGCGGGCCTAAGCCAGCAGGTGGACATCCCCCGAGGGGTCCCAGACTGCGAGAGGGCACAGGCCGGGCTGAGGGACCCCCCCGAGTGCACAAATTTTTGTGCACCGGGCCTCTAATCCTACTATATCAATGTAGATTTAAAAACAGAAAACCTTTGAGTTATCCTTGATTTGTAGTTCCATTATAACCATCAATAACTCCTTTAGTTTCTACTATCAAAACTCTCCAAATCTGACTACTTCCTATGCCTTCCTCGTCCAAAGCATCATCAGACTTATCTGGGAAACCATAATAGCCTTCTAACAATTGGTCTTTCTCTTTTCACTTTTGTCTCACTCAACTCTTCACATATAAGTGAAATGTGTTCAGGTTACCTTGATACCCTCCCAGAAAGGTCTCCCATTACATTAGATAAAATCTGTGGACACTCACTTCCTCTCTTATCTGATTTTCTGTTCCCCCACCTTGTTCAGTTTGTTCCTTACACATACTGGTCATCTTTCTGTTACTTGAGCCTGCCACATGTGTTATTTCCACAGTCCTTTGTATTTTCCCACTCTGCTTAAAACTCATGTCTTCCACATATTTGCATATTTGTATGTTTCACTCCATTGCTTCAGTTCTTTGTGCAAATGTCACCACCTCAGAGAAGCCTTCCTTGATTCCTAAAATGTCCTGTCACACACTTAATATTTTTTATAGCATTTAACATTACATATTACTTAATTTTTAAAAATTATCTGTCTCTACTTTTAGAATGTAAGTTCTAAAGATAAAGTTTTTTTATTTGTAACTTAACTGTACCCATTGACTAGAACAGTGACTGACATATGGTAGGTGTTCAAATATCTGTTGAATGGATGAATGGAAAAATCTATTGTCATAATGCTAACCATCCCTATGCTCTGACTTTTAAGCATTCTTTTAAAATTATTTGCATTAAAGTGTACTCTTTTCTGCTTATGGCTATAATCTGACTTTTAATTCTAATTCTCTATTCCTGATATCTTTTCTGAGTATCAGTTCTCCTTTTGTAACACTTAAAAAACAACACAAATGTAGCTTCCCTAATTGTTATTCTGATTCCTCAAACTCTCTTAAAATTAAATTGAACACCACCACCAACAAAAACTCATCTTAAGAAAAATCCCCTAAGCCCTAGCTGGTTTGGCTCAGTGGATAGAGCATCAGCCTGTGGACTGAAGGGTCCCAGGTTCAATTCTGGTCAAGGGCACATGCCCAGGTTGTGGGCTTGATCCCCAGTGGGGGACGTGCAAGAGGCAGCTGATCAATGATTCTCTCTCATTGATGTTTCTCTCTCTCTCTCTCTCTCTCTCTCTCTTCATCTCTGAAATCAATAAAAATATATTTTAAAAAAAAATTCCCCAAACTAACAAAATCCAACGCAAAGTCACTGTTCTTCTAGAATTAGTCTTGGTAAGTTATGTTGGTGTGTACCTCTTTGCTCCATCTAGTAACCTTTTTTATTTCCTTCCTTTTCCACCTCTAGCTCATGCTGCTTATACATGCTCAGTTTTTTCCCTAGTTTTACTTACCATATTTGTGAAAAGTCTTTTGAATCTTTTCTGTTTTACTTCAGGTCCCTGTCATCCTTGACCTATACTGATGTGATTCTTTTAACCTGCCTCCTTATCTCTGTGCTCTGATGCCTTTCATTTTATCTTCATGTTGCTACCAGGATTGTCCTTGTATTTTTCATATCGAGTCCTGATTGTAAGCTATCAAGGGCTGTTGTGGCTGCTCAGGCATCATCAGGGTCTTAGGTTTATTCTTTCTGATACACCATCTTTAGCAAGGATTTCTTCTCTAAAAATGCCTCATGGTCCGTGATTACTACTGCTGTTCTAGCTATCTTGTCTGTGTTTTGTCAGGAAGAAGTGGGAAGAGCAAGAATATCAGTAAATCCTCTTTTAAGAGCCTTTCAAGAATCCCAACCCAGTGACTTCTCCTAACACTGTTTAGCCATCCTTACCTGTTGGGCATCTGGAAGAGACTTTTATGAGAGATTTGCTTTTAGTGAAGTTCCTTTAGTAAAACCAAAGGGGAGGATGGATTTGGGGTAAGAAACCACCCGTATCTGCTATCCCTGTGTGCCGACTGCTGAGGTGCTTCCATGGGCTCAATTTACCACTCACTGCTGTGCTTCCTGGCTTTCCCTCAGGACTTTTGTTCTGCTTTAATTGTTTCCTTCCCTTTCTGCCTGGTTACCTTCTGATTGCTCCACAAGATTGAATTAAATGTAAACTCTTAGGTATAATTAAATATAACTCTTAGGTATAGAAACAGTTCCTCTTTCTGAGTTACCTCAAGCACTTGAATATGTGAGCAATTATGGGACACAAATCAGAAAGAAAAGTAAAATAAAAAAATATGTGGAGACAAACGGTAATGTTTCATTTTCTTTCTTGTATCCCTAAGCAAGAAACTGTTACCTTTTGATACACTCTAAACTTTAAATGTTATCTTTTAAAGGTTAATTGTGTCAAAGAAGAAACATCAAGATACTGTGGAAAAGAAAAGGATTTGATGAAAGCATATTTATTCAGGTAAACTATTATTTTGAGTGCAATGGACAAATATAAAAGTATACCTTTAGAATATTCAAGTACATAAAATATCACTAGTCCAGAATAAAGTTGTATGCCATGGGGGGGGGCGGTGGGAGGGGCTGTCATATGAAGTTTAGCAAAAAAGTCCAGGTAATAGATTTGTTACCTGCTTCCTTATCTATAAAATGAGAATAATACCTACTTTTACATGAGAATCTTATGTAAACTTCTATTACAAATGCCTGGCATGCAAGCACTTAGAAAATTTAGTGTTTCACCCTGGCCAGAGTGGCTCAGTTGTTTGGGCATTTTCCTGTGCACCAAGAGGTGGGCACTTTGATTCTGGTCAGGGCACATGCCTGGGTTGGGGGCTCCATCCCCAGTAGGGTGTGTGTAAGAGGCAGCCAATTGGTTTCTCTCTCTCCTTCTCCCTTCCTCTTTCTCTCTAAAATAAATAAAAACATTTTAAAAAAGGAGAAAATTTAGGGTTTTAAATAGGTCAGGCCATATTTTGGTGTGAAATAAATGTGCATACTTTATTTTTGAGGGATCTGCCAGTGTCCAGGGTACAGATTCCTCTGCACTTGGGTCTGCTAAACTGAGGTTTTTCAGAACTCTGTCCTCAAACCCTTGGGATTTGGCCTGGGAAATGGGGAGAGAATCTGCCTCCTCAAGAACCCACTGCTTGAGGACACTTCTTTCTCCTACTTGCCTCCTTCCCAGCCCAATTTGGGGTATCTGTATATACGTGACAGGGAGGTTGGTAGGAAACTATGTTTGGACTCATGTTTATTCCCCAGTCTTTTTGTTAAACCCAGGGCCTACGCTTTTCAAAGTTGACATAGTTATTAGTATATATTCAATAAATATTTGAGTGTATATTATGGCCAGCACTTTGGTAGGTGCATAGTAGATAAGACACACAGTCTCTAGCATTAAAGAATTTACAGTCTAGTATATTAGAGAAACAAGTAAGTGGAATGCCAAGGAACTATTTCTGTAATGCTTTTTCAAACTTTTTACAGAGGCAACATATTACTGAGAGAATTCCCTACTGATACCTTGTTCGACGAGAATGCCATCATTGCTCATGTTCTCTTGTAAGTACAAGGGTTACCCATTCACTTCTTTATTTATTAGTTATCTAGTGATTTCATTTTAGACAACCATGACCCATTAAAATATTTTACAGTTTTAACATTATATTGGTAGGCACCAATTTCATATAAATTGCTGGACTATCTTCCCACATAGAGGATATAAAATTTCTTAAATGGCAAACAATACAGAAACATGTAGGTACTCTGAATAAAAATTGGAGGTGATACAACACAACTACATGGGTCATACTATTGCTTTTGCTTTTGATTCTACCTGAGTAGTGAGGATTTTACCAGGTAAGAAGCTCGTGTTGCTATTCTCAGTAGTATTTTTAGTATCTAGCATCCTTCTCACCTAGCCTGAGTCTGTAGCTCTGTGCCTGCTCAGTAAATGCAGAAAGCGTTCAAATAATCCCCGCCCATACTTGAATGTTTATTGAGAGAGAGAGAGAGTGAATTTAAGTTAACTTCTCTGGCATGGGGTCTTTAGGTCTGAGATTCAGGCCTACCTGCAATTTACCTCTGAATGAAGTCTGGTATTCTCCTTTGTTAAGGACATGAGTTTACATAAACATTCCCAATTTAACCTTGTTGTAGCCTGTTACCAACTAAGATCTTTGCTGACATTGGCTATCTTTGTCTTCCACTTGGTTCCTTTCTTGTCTGGCTGGATTTCCAGAAAAATTGGGTGAAAGTTAAATTACAGGAAACTTAAAACATATGGGTGAAAAGTCGTGTTTATCACTTTGCAAATGGATACTTTTAAATGTTCCAATACTCATAATATATTATCGAAAGGTCTTTGGAAAGGATCCTAACCACCAAGGATCCTGAGGCCTCTAGGCTAAGAAGCCAATTATAAGGAATGAAAGATGGCCTTTTGAAGAAGGAATTCCACATAGCTGGTGGACTGCCTTAGAAGGGGATAGAGAAGGGGTCTCCTGAGGAGGGAGGGTCATAAAAAGCTTAGCAAAATGGCCAAGTAATAGATGTGATATTTGTAATACAATAGATACCTGATGACTGTCTTTGATCCAGAAATGAGGTTGAAGAAACAAGGAAGATTCTTTGAGGGATGGGAGAAGGGCAGATAATATTGTCGGTGATAAGTTTGACAGCAAATCCTGGAGCTGCAGGTGCACCTTGGACAATCTGATAACAGGAGATTTTGACGACAATTGGACCTTAGATGTGGAGTGGCTGTCAGTGCTGGGGACCCTGTTCTCTGAACTGGGTAGCCTGTGGAGCTTATGTCATGCAATCCTGTGGGGGTGTCCTGTTCCCTGTGCTGTGCTAATGCTGATGTATAGAACACGAATTCCTCAAAGATTATTCCCCATGTTTCTCCCTTGTGCCAAATACCTGTTAGACACTGGGGATTCAAAATAGAATAGGGTGCGGCTTTTGTTCTCTAGGAGTTTAGCATTTTGTTGCAGATATATATATATATATATATATACACAAAATATTATGTGTTAAGTGAAATAGAAGTACTAGTATGTATGCATAGGGGCTTATGGACCCACAGGGTAGGGAATAGTTTTGTCTAGAATGAGGGTGGATATTTTTACTAAGAAGCCTACCTGAAGGAAGTGGCACTGGGGATGAGTCTGAAAGCATAAGGAGTTTGCTTGGTGAAGAAATGGAAGGCGGGGAAATAGTGGGAACTGTGTGAGCAAAGGCATAGAGGTAAGAATAGTTTGGAAAGGGTAGGTTTTACTGGAGTATCAAATGTGAAGCAGGGGATGAGGGCAGAGAAGTAGGCCCGGCGTCAGATGAAGGGATTTTTGTTTACCATGTGAAGAAGTTTAGGCTTCTGGAAAGCCACTGAAGGGTGAGGAGTCCAACTCCACCTCAACATCCTTGTGTCATCTTTCAGTCCCAACCATGGGCAATTACAAGGCTTTGCCTGGCAGGCCTCATAGGGGGAAGGTGCCTCGTCCACACCAGACTTGGCACACAGCCAGTGCATTGCAGTTTTCTAGAGAAAATTGAGGTCAAGGACTCAGGCCCCTCCTCCATCCCAGTCAGTCCCTTAGGCCAAACATGCTCTTGTGTACACCTACATTTCTAGCCCAGTTGTCTCCATTCCAGGCTTCATTAGCAGGGACCTTAACTGAGGCACCTCCCAGGTACTTCTGATAAGAGCCTCTTAGGTTTACTTTTCCCTTCCCACTCCTAGCCCACCATTCCATAAAGAGGCAGGAGCCTTCTATGTGGTGTTCCTTGGAATGTGATGATAGCTTGCATCTGAGCTTTGAGCACCTGCCCCTCACTTGGGGCTGTTCCATGGCAAGGAAGGGAATGAAGTATTCTGGAGCTGGTGCCTCTCTCTGCCTCTTGCTTGCACTGTCGCAGTAAGTGAATAAATGCTGGATTGTTACTTTTAGGTTGGCTTGCTGTCCTAATTGAGCAACACCTGATTGCTCAACGGAGGGCTGCAGGAAGGCAGGTGATGTGATTAAATTAGTACTGGAGTGCTCTTTCTAGTGAATGTGACAGCTTCATGGGGGTCCAAGTACATGGAGAAACCTTTGTGTGGCCTTTGTACAATCTAGGGAGTGGAGTAGAGAGAGCAAAGAGGAGATTTTCTTTTTAATGCTTAGGAGGTGAAGTTAATGGGACTTGGTGATAGTTAATTTGGTAATCAGCAAAATGACAAACTTTAGTCCCTGATCTCTTTTTTTCCAGCTCATTCTACTATAAATCTAATCTGACCACCATCTGAGTAGGCAAGGAAGAGCAAATTTTCAGAAGATAATCTAATTTAACAAGACAAATGCCCATCATAACTGAGTCTCAAGTATATAGCTGTAGGAACTTGAGCCCCTGGGAAGTACAGACCTAAGTGTTGTTAACATATAGGTCATCCAGGGTTCTAGGACAATACCAACACTTAGGAGAAGAAGAAACTTAAGGGGGAGGGTGGGATAAATGTCAAGTAGTATTCCAAAGAGGCAATAGCCTAATTTTTATTTACTAGTATATTTTTCAGAACACTTGTATCTGAACTGAAAGCTTACATTTAGAATATATTGCTTTACTTGCCTTGCCATTTAAATTTGTTCTTTATGTAGAATGCTTTGATTGAGACCACAATTGGTCTCAGTGATCCACAATTATACTTGAAATTTGCTTCTTTGTCAACTGGAAAGATCAAGGTTTAAGATAATTTTTTATTCTCAGAATATACAAAAATGCAATTGGAGAAAAATTAAGTTAGTAAACTCTGATAACAGAAAAATAAGTATAAACGTAAGGTAATCTTTACACTAAATTTCTAAGGAATTATATATATTTTGGATCATTAGGGGCAATTTTTTATAAGTTATTTAAAATATTCCTAAAATATCATGGATTAAAATGTACTAACTGGTCTATTAAAATTTTCTCACATTGATTTTTCAGAATACAGTAAGTGAATAAATCAAGTGTTTCAGTGGTTCTCAACCTGTGGGTCGCGACCCTTGAAAATACATCCTGCATATCAGATATTTACATTACGATTCTTAACAGTAGCAAAATTACAGTTATGAAGTAGCAACGAAAATAATTTTATGGTTGGGGGTCACCACAACATGAGGAACTGTATTAAAGGGTCGCGGCATTAGGAAGGTTGAGAACCACTGGTTTAGAGTATAGCAGAGTACCATGTATGTAAGAAAGGGATAAGTCCAACACTCTGAAGGGTCTCAGATGTTACCCAACCTGCACAGATACTTGCAGAAACACCAGGTCTCTGAATCAGAAATCAGACTACACAGCCAGTGGCCAGGGTAACTTGGTATACTAGATCCCTATTTCCAGTTCTGCACAGAGCAAAAGGGTGAGAGCCATATGCTTACACCTGTACTTATAGCGAACTTTGGAGAAAAAGAACTCAGAAATTATGAATCGACAGGAGCTGACACATTTACTCTGGAGAGACAGAGTATTTATCTTTTTCTCTGGGATGTAAACAAATTCTCTGGTGAGACAGCCCAGGAAGGTCTGAACCCTTAAATATTATAAGCCTATGTCTCTGGGGAAGATAAGAAAGGTTTTATTATACTTTGAATGACTCCAGAAAAAAGGAGACAAATAACTTTATTTATTTACTTACTTATTTACTTAGCTTTAAAAATTTTTTTTATCTTTATTGTTGAAAGTATTACAGGTGTCTCCTTTTCCCCTCCCATTGACCCTT